ACTTCACAAAAAAACAGTGATCAACTAAGAAATCACCAGGAACACTGGCTGTTTCAGGCCCAGGCCAAATGTGAAGTGGTGCTCTGGAGGTGAAAGGATCTCTACGCCATTTCAGGCCTTCTAAGTTCCCCAGTCCCAGAGGTGTACTTCCATGGGAAGAAAAACCTGTTTCAGATCATGCCAGATATTTTCTACACTACCCAGCAGTTATACCTGAGGATGTTCTCCAGATGTTTGTATTTGTATGAACACAATAATAAAGTTGTAAACTGTAGGAGACAATACCCAGATTTCAAGAAGAAGGGCTTTAGGGCAACCTGGAAAAACATGAAAATTAACTAGCCCACACACAAAATCACCTTGTCTGCTTTAATAGAAATATAAAGACATATTTTATTTGCTTTTCCAGAGAACTGCTACCTCTCCCAGCAAGTAGTCAGTAGGCAACTGCTTGTATTTTGGGGAACAGATATTCCTTCCACTGGGGCAGCTGAGAAGTGAGAAGTACAGGGTCTGAGACAAGGTGAAGCTGTAGCTCAGACAGTTTTTAGGCTGTAGTGAAAAGAAAAAAACAACACAAAGTACCATTGTCTCAAGTGCCACCTGCTGAAAAACTAAAGAGAAGAAAATACTCGCAGAAACTGGAAATGGAGAGGGTGGAAACAGACCTGTTGCATTAAGGCATTAAAATTTCCTGGCTAAAAGAAGTTAGATTACAGGTATCCTCTGTACTGAAACTATAAAGAGAGAATAAGAATGCCCTGGCTAAGACACCTGTAGAGTGAAATGTCTTTGGTGTTTGCAAGCTGTCTAACGAGCTGAGTAAAACAGGAGTTTGAAACTAGAAGCCTTTTCTCTTTTCTGGAACCCCTTCTCTTTTTCTGCTGGCCTATATGTTGGCTAAGCAAAAGGTCTGAGAAGGCTGGCTACAAGTTTTAGGAGGTCTCTGGGAAAGGTTTCTGAGTGAGCTATTCCTGCTTAATTTGGGTCCTGATACTAAAAACACGTGGACGTAACTGAGAACTTTTTGCTTAGAGCATTTATATTACAACAGTGGCCTGCATAAGGATTTCAGAATGTCACGTGCCTACATTGCTTGGAGTTTGGCTATTTCAGTGATTACGCTGCCTGGGGTGCATTTGGAAGTGGTATCTCAATTAAAAAAAAAAAAAAAAGTGACTGTAAAAATAATGCAGTTGCTGACTGCTGTCATGGCTTTGATCTGAAAAGCAGTCAGGCCCTGTGGTGTATCACTTCTCTTTATAACATAGTGAGAGCAAGCCAGACTGGAATGCTGCTCTTCAAATACACAGGATTAAAACATTTTTGCAGGTTTATTGTGGGACCCGTAGGTGGCCTCGTTCCAATAGCAAAAAACTATTAGTTCAGTTTGCCAATAAGCAACATTTTGTTTAACTCTACTGAATTTGGAAGCTGAGGCAATTGCTTCGAGTACCACCAAATACTCTGCTATTTGTTCTGTAAACAAGAGCACACTGATCTTAATTCTGAAAGTGTGAACATCTGTTTTGGTTTCATCCTTAAATTCCTTCAAGGATGGCAAGAGAGGGCATGATTTTGAAACCAATTTAGGACCAGTAAAGCAGCCTGTATCATTTATTTCACATCCCCTCCCAAACCACGGGTGAAGGAGCAGAGAACTGCTGGCTATGCCCTGGCATTAACCACAGACATTTTGTAAATACTGAACAGTATTTACATATTCTGTTAGAGAAGGCCTAACCTCATGGCTTACCAAGTTCAGTAGGGTAAATGGAATGCAAAACAATGCCAAGTGAACTGAGACATTTTGCTGTAATCAATAGAGTACCCCGTCCATGTGTGGAATACATGTTGGTAAGGCTCCAGTTTTAACCAGTTCATGTACATGTATTTTTTCTAGTGTGACAGCTGACACAGCTTGTGAAAAAGGGTTATAGTTAAGTTGCCTTTAATATATGGAAGGTATGTAGCTACAATGGTAAAAGAACCTCTGTTTCATTAACTGGCCTCATCTTGCCACCACTGCTTCTCCCACCCTGCAACCAGAGCACCCCAGGGAACAGCAGGAGCAGCAGGGAGAGCATCTTGTACTAGAAATCTCCCTGTATTGCAGTGGTGGGGTGTACATGTGTCTTAGGCACAATTTCATGCTCTGCACAGCAGAACACAGGCTGCCTTGAGCTGGACTGGAAGGCAGGGCCATCCCCTCATGTCTGCTGTCAGGTCAGCAGCACCACCAGGACCACACACATCCAAAGATCTGCCTTGGCACAGCACCTCTGGGTGCTGATGGACTGGCCAGGTTATGCTGTGAGTGCAGGGCAAAGCCACCACGAGGTGTCCAGGTGCACCTCATTTTAGTGGGCACCAGTTAGTCCCTCATTTAATATCAATCTATTACAGTTCAGAGTGGGAACAACAGTGGATAGATGGGAGGCAGAGGGATAAATTTTCGGACTCAGAGGGGTTATACTAAGCTTCTAAAACAAGTCTTCAGTGTGTCATTTTCCCTAGGGTACTGGAATGTTTGAGAACAATTAGCAAGTGAATTAATTTTGATGTAACTCTCTGGCTCCCATGAACACAAACGTGGAAGTTGGTTTGAAAACAGCCTGCAACTTTTTCCCCTCCCTTGCACCTGTCTTCTATAATCCACTGCAGAGCTGATCTGCCAAGTGGCGTTAACCTGCTGCCCACAGAGCATTCCCAACCTCCACCCCTGGAGATGAAACCTTGACAGAAACAAACTTTCCAGACAAACTCCTCCATTTCAGACTGAGCCTGGGCACCGCAGAGCTCCTCTGGCATGCCTCTTGACACACCACATCCCTCACAGCATCTTTTGGAATTGGTCAAAACATCTGCTGAGTGAAAGCTGAATCCTTCTCTAAACATTACGCATCTCTATTGGGCCTGGATGCTTGCCATACTCTCTGGAAAGCAGGTACCTGACACTGACACCTGGGCAGAACTAGTGCTGCACTCCTGCCAGAAACCTACTGGAGATAAAAGTGCTGGATATATAATAGTCACAGTAAGTTAAGGGAAAGCAAAGTAAAAGTAGTTCCCTAAGATATGCTGCAGCTAAGGGTGCAAAAGCTGGACACAAAACCAGAGAAATAAGGAAGGAGAACAGAATTATTTATAAAGTAATTTATTTTCTATTTGTGTACAACAAATATATTAAAACAAATTTAACTTGTAAAATGTATATTTGATTTCTTAAAAGTATTGAACCCTCTTAAGGAAAGGTTTTATTTATTAAAAAGGTACCGAAGGCTAAAATTATACTTGGATAACATATATGCGTGTACGTGTATATATATATATATATATAAAACATGTGCAATTTTATATATATATAGAGTATATATAAATAACATGTGTGACTTAAATGATATTTTAAGGTATCCTCTTTAAACATCTGAGTAGCAATAGAGATATTATAAAATATAGTTTCTTATTTCTACACAGTTTGCATTCAGTTTTTATAAGCATCTAGACAGTGCAAAATTTAATCATACAGAAATATTCTCCTATTATTCTATAAGTTGTGCTCAGCTCCCAAGTTTCCTGTCACCATCATAACCAGAATCAAATTTGGAGGGTTCAATACCAGCCCTTGCTAGCATCTTCTAAGAGCAACAAAAGGCAGTCTGTCTTACCTTGCACTGTGCTGTGGCATAGTTTGCACACAAGAGAGAACAATGCATTTCCTCTGCTAAATGGTCTACCTCCCAGAGATCACATACACCTCACCATATTGACTCATTTCATTGCACTCCATATCCTGTAAAACTAAATCTCCTGTAGGACAGCATATATCTCTGCGTCCTGAAGCTTAAGTAATATATTTCTTTAACATAAGGCAGGAATATACTGAAATTTGATAACACTTCCAACAGCAATCTGGAATTAAACCACATTTATGTGCCACATTTTTATAGATGCTGCCTTTTTATGTTTATGTCAGAAAATGTGGCAGAGAAAACCTACTTTTCTTCAAATAAAAGCTAGGGATAAAAGCAGTTCTAGAAAAAATTGCTAAAAACCCAATGGGACCAGCAGAAACTCAACTGCCCTGAAACACCAAAGGTCAGCCTGCACAATCTTTCCTGCAGCTAATGAGCAATTCCTTGCATGACATCTGGGGGAATACTCATGTGAGCAGGTGCTTGCCACTTGCAGCAGAGCCCAAGTGTTTTTGCTGTAAATATTTATCATCCTTATTTGCATCCACTCAACATTAAGGTATAGTGAGCTTTTTCCGTGTCTTTCTTATGTTGCAAAAAAAAAAAAAAAAAAAGGCAATTCTGACCATTCTGAATGCTTTTACAGTAGCTATATTTTAGGTGAAAGATGTTTCTACTTTAGATAATACGTTTATTATCACTGACGTAAAACTCTCAATCCTGCTTCCGTAAAAATCAGCAGCTGCTTTGCTCTTACTAGAAATAAAACTGGATCCAAATACATTATTTGCAAAGTTTGCTAAGAAAAAGTAAATACTATATTCATTAACTCTCGACGCTTAAAGGCAAAGTGGTGTTAGCAAATACTGTATAGTATAGCGTAAAAGTCTTACGCACAATTCCCGAGAAACTCTTATTCAAGAAAACCTAAAAGCAGCTGTGAAAAACATCTTACAGGACAGAAAAATTTTGCTACATGAACATTTCTGCAGTTTTGACAGGCTTTTTTCAAATTAATTTCTTAAACCACCCTCCTCCCTCACGTCCTACACCTCAATTGCACAAATTAAAGGTTGTGGCCTTGCAGACACTATGCATTCAGACCAGCTAATCTTTAAAATTGGATACTTCAGGAGGGTCTCCCTCTTTCCGCTGCATTCATTCCTAAACTCCCTTCTAACAGAAACCGTCGTGTTTCTGAATCCTTGTAGCAACCGACAAGATAAAGAGCCTAGTGTCATCCCTCATCTACTTCACTTCCTAAGTTTATCTCTGCACTTGTCCATATAATTACCCCCTGCAGATTTCAACTTTAGTTCAGATTTGAGTTACAGTGGCTGAACAGGCCTCATGAAAAGGCAAAGCCTCATTAGTAGCCTGCAAAAGTGAGCCTTACTGGTTAAAACCTTTATTTAAATACCAAACAAAGGAGAAAAATAGATGCTGAGACAATGTTTACATCCTTTGAACCACACCCTTGAAATTTTGGCAGTAAATTAGCCAAAGAATGGGCTTTACACCTCACTCATCTCTCTCAGCTGGGAAGGAACATCCATAACTACAAGTTTTTGCAGGGTGCGGCCGATGCTGGGAGGTGGCTGAATACGTATGACCACAGGTTGCATGCCTTGCAAGTCAGAACAAAGCAGAGATGTGCTAGGAATTCAGGATTTTCTTATCCCCGGAACTTTCCTACAGACTGGAGATAAACACAAGTTCCATCTCCCACACAAAAAGGAGTAGTGTTCAAACGTAGAGTAACACAGCACTACGAAGAAACTAATAATGATACCAAACCCTCTCAAGTTAAGGATTCCCCAGAGCAATCTCAAAGAAAAGAAAGGGAAAGAAAACATGTGGAGTCAGTCAACACATTTCTCAATCCAATTACATAGTAAATGCACTGGCAGGCAAGGCCTGAGTTCCATAAAGGTGAGGAAGAAGTAGGATGGTGCAAAATGCTTTCATATATTTAAACATTCGTAGGATATAAGAAAGCAGACAACTCAGAAAACATTCCTTGTAAGCTGTGTGGGATCAGCACAGTTTTCTGCAGGCTTTGCTTCATCCTACAGCTCAGCTTTGCCTGTTTGGGCAGGACCAGCACTACCGCTGCCTTCTCCGGTATTGTTCTTCTCTGCTGGCTTGAAAGATAACGAAGCAGAGTTTGTGCAGTACCGTTTGCCAGTTGGACGGGGTCCATCATCAAAAATATGCCCCAGGTGAGCACCACACTGAAATAAAACACAACAGAGTATCACTGTGTCTCTCTGTGCAGCTTGATGGCATCCCCGCCGTGTTAAGCAACCACCTGCAGCCACTTCCAAGGAAGAACATTGGTGCCTGCAACGCCCTTTCAAGGGATTTACAACCTACATTTATTTGCTAGAGTGATCCAGGAAGATAATCTTCTGAGATACCACAGGTGCCTAAGACTTCCAGCCCAAATTTCCTGGATATTTCCCACTGCATAAGTTTGGTTGGGCCACGGTTTCTGAGAAGCTGTCTTATCTCTGTAATGATCTCATGGCAGGAGCTCAGCTGAAAACACAGTGGTGAGGGCAGCACTGCCCACGTTTCACTTACCACTGTAAGGACAGCTGTGTAAGAAAGAGGCAGCCTGAGCTCTGGGTCCTCCTCAGCCTGCACCCACCTACAACACCTCTCAGTAATAAAACACTTATCCCCTTGGTGATGCTGGCAACAACTTAAAGTAGTGAAGATATTCTTTAGAGTATGGTCTCATACTATCTTCCTTTCTCTCCACAGCCTAGCAGCCTTCTGAGCACCAGGGTTTTTCTGGGTGCCCCTCTGCCCCTTTCCCATCCCCTGGGGATGGAGCTCTTCCACTACTCATCTCATAATACTTTCTGTAGTGTATAGGAGATAGGGACAGGTGACTGCAAAAGACCTGTAGTGAAGATACGTAAAATATTTCTGAATGAATAATGTTTAGCTGGGAGTAATTATAAATAGGAAATATGTTGAATTTGCTTTTTGTAAGAAATATGAAACTACAGATGGTCTCAATGGTTTTGTTCTGTATGAGTCAGTCTCATACAGACTCAGTCATGCTTACACTGGTATTCAGGGTGAACTCTACCCCTTCTCCTGTCTGTAAGAAAGGCAAAAGTTCTGTGCTTTACAGAACATATTTTGAAGCAGGTGATCCAGTTGATGCTTATTCAAAAATTATGATTACTATCACTGCACATGGTGGCTGGCAACTTACCTGGATAATAAGAACTTCTTGTAACTAGTCACTTAAATTCCACACGCTCATTTGTACAGCATGCCATGAGAAATAAAAAAATAAAACCTTGCACTGGAGAAATATTTATCTTGAACAGGAAAGTCATGCTGCTTTACCGAAGAGCCTTGGCCTTTCAAGTCAATAGCTGACCTCTGTGAGAGCCAGAATGATGTAACTGAGATCACAGAGCTGCTCCTGGGCTCACAGTCAGACAGCAAAAATTAAAGACTGCAGATTATTCTTAACATTTAATGAATTCATTGTATCCCAAATACATAAAGGCAATACTGATTATTCTTAACTGTGAATGAGTTAAGTGACAGCAAACCTCTACCCTGCAGTTAATGTGTTGCTAATGCTCTCCTGCTGTTATGGCTTTTAATCCACCAAAGCACTAGGAAGGGTGTTTGCAGAAGCAGGTAATGTCTTGGGCTTCAGGCTAAACTCTCTCAACAGACTGAAAGGCTGGGGAAGGCTCTCATGCCAGCTAGGAGTGACAGAAACTCTCCTTGTTTGCTGAAAAAATAAGCCTCAGTGACTCCAAGAGGAGGCCAGGCAGGCATGTGAAGCCTCACTGGTCCCACCTGGCTGTCCCACCCATGTAGCCAAACCCCACGGCGGTCTCCCTGCTCCTGGAGAAGTGTCACTGCAACAGCCACGGCAGTCCAGCAAGGACTCAGTAACAAACAAGGGTGCTTCCAGCCTATGGCATCAGCAAGAAAAGCTCCTGGAAGCAATGGGAAAAAGCATGGATGACTTTAGGTAAAGGAGCAGCTGCTTGGCTTTGTAAGGAAGGAAGACAAAACATGGCAAATGAGGAAAAGGCACAGGAAAGTTTCACGGGAACTACAGAAGACAAAGCTTTAAGTCTTGTTTCTGACAGTTTGCTTCTTGCCACCCTTTCCTCCATTCTCCTCTGCTTCTATTGTTTCATTTTCCTTTAGATCAAAAGCCTTTTTTAGGCAGTTTGGGCAGAAAAACGGAGCTTTTTCTCAGAGCGGGGTCTCTCACAACGAGCCATTTCACCTGATCACAAAGCTTTTCCATGCCTTGAGAACAAAATTAATAAATCCAAAAAATTTGAAGTGTCCCAGAGAGAGTATTTTTCTAAATGCTCAGCATCCTAATTAAATCATCTATTCTCAACTAAGAATGCTTCAAAACCTTCTGGCTAGAAGTGTTAAATAGATCTTTTCCACATTAACATTTAACCAAATATAAATCATTCCCTCTCCACTGGATAGAAACAGAACAAGAGAAACCATAGAGAGAAAACAGTCTCCTGGAGTAATACACTCACATATGGATGACAATCTATCAAAAAAATTTTCCTCACAGAATCTGAGAAGCTGTGTGAGAGTCCCAGATAGCCTCATTACACCTTTTTGTGATGGCAGAATCACACCAGGATTGGATTACTGCAAAATTTGTTACCTTTTGAGATTATCCCACACCAAAAATTTATGTGGCAATTCTCTCTATAACTCATCTGCCCTGAAAAGCAACATAACTCAATCCTTTTTAGCACAGTATAAGAAACCTAGCCCTCAGCTGAGAGTACAAAGGATGAATTGATTTTACTGTCCTCCACACACACGATAGGTGCTGACCATTTTTCTAGGATGTATATAGATGTCTGCAAAGCTTCCCCAGAAAGAACAATCATCTGTTGCAGCCTTGCACATGCTGGGCAGAATGCACTGGGATGGTGAAATGGTTAAAGCTTTTGCAGTATGTGTTGGGGAGCAGGAAAGGGGGGGGGGGAAAAAAGAGGAAGGGGGGGGGGGGGGGGTGTTGCTGTCAGAATGCTTGGATCTCCCAAGCTTCCTGGTTCTAATATGCCACTGGGAGATATGGAAAGCAGCTTGCAATCAGCTGCTGTAACCCAGTCTGAACTATCAATGTCTAAGCAGTCCTTGTGTGAAAACATAATTGTATGGATTTGTACAGATACAAATAATAGCTAGGGAGACCTCAGGGGAAAGGATTCGTAAGAAGGAAAGAGAAGAAAAAAAAAAAAAAAGAGAGAGATGCAACCAGTTTTACAGTATTCCTCAAATGCATTTGTAATTAAACTTCTACCTGTCACCAATCATTGACCTTTTAAACACATCCAGGGTGATGTGTTTAAAAAAAACCGTAGAAGTTATTTCTAGGCTAATCCCATGGATGTCTTTGGTTAGGATTACAGCAACTTTTCCCCAGTGTTTGCTTTCTATAATGGAGGACATGAAAAGAGAGGTTTTCTATTCTCTCAGACAGGTGGAAGGACTTTTAAACAAAAATCAACTACTTTCTCACCTGCAAAAGATTACTAAGGTTTTGGCTGTGCAAGGGGTTATTTCCCTCCAGTTCTACCAAGACCTGCCATGTCAACCCCACAGCTTTCCAGGCTGCAGTAAAACTGCATTTTTTTTTGCAGCTGCATGTGTGATTCACATTCTTAGGGCTCTAAGGAGGGGAGGAAATGGTTTTGTTATGGATACACAATCTGGCAGTATTAACTGTGCTGAGGGGTGGCTGTGAAGATGCTTACCACTCCTCAAGCTCTTCTCCTGTGTGATTTGATCATGTCTGGGGTTACTGCCCCAAGACGTTGCAGTAAGTAGCTGGTAGGAAGTTACCAATGGATTATATAGCAACCTTGGTAGTTTTTATTTTTTTAAAATGCTTTAAATTCAGTTTTTTGTTTTCCTTTAATTTTATGGTGTCTGTGTGTGACTGCTGCTAACACTGCTGGTCTCAGATCTGCTAACGTTATTTTGCTTGGCAAGAGGTAAATGCCATTCCCAGATTCCTTGGTCTGACCACAGGCTGCCTTAGGTTTCTCTCAGGTGAAACCAGGAGCTCTGGCCATCTCTTGAAGGGTGTCAGCAGATACAGGCTCAGCAGGTTGGCAGTATGCTGATTTTAGCACTATTCAGGCTTAGTAAGCAGAGCTGAGGAGAGCGAGTTATATTTTTTATTATGCCATAATCAGTGGTGGAGCATGAGATTCCCAGTCTGCAGTCCCATTGTTGCCTCACTAGGGAATTTAGAGAAACAGATGCTCCCAAAAAGTGTTAAATGGATCTTTTGAAGTATATAATCAATGTGAAAGCTACAGAATTATGTAGTACACATAACATACCAGCAGACACACTGATTTGGCCATTAACATGCTGGGCCAAAACCTCTATCCAGACTGAAGTTAATGGATTCTCCATGAAGACAATCCTGCCTCTTTTTGAGAAGCTTTTTAACTCACTCTGAGAATTTATATATGAGGATTGACTGACTAGTAAGGACTCAAATCATCAGGGATTAAATCAGTTATCCCTCCACCAATACTATTTGGAAAGAGAAGAGAAAATTAGCATTGTCCAAATGAAGCTGCTGCTTCTCTCGGAAGGATTTTCAGCATGTGGAGCTGGAGGACCACAAGCTGCTGGGTGCATCTGTTGAACGCCAATGCAGCAGCTTTTGCCTTTGCTAGGAAATTATTATACTGTTCCCTTCACAGAGAGGAGGGCAGCACAAAGGATCAGAGAAAGCAGAACAAGGCAGATAACGGAAAATTTGGGCATGTTTTGAATTACTACTGGCTTCATTATTATGGCAGATGGCATTGTTTGAGGCAGCCTTCAGGACTGTGCTTGGAATGACTGTTGGGAATGAGTTAGCATGGCTGCACAATAATGCACAGTGATGGAATCAGCACAGAGACAGTTGCTCCACTGCTTTCAACTTCCCCCTCAACTGCTCACGGTTGGAGTCAGTCAATCAGGCTCAGGCTCAGGGAGCAACTTTGAAGGGTCCCTCTTCAGAAGACAATTAGAGACTCAGCAGCAAATCCAACCATTTACATCTCCTCCATTAAACCTCACACAAGACAACAAGATGCATTCCAACAAGCCCTTTGTGCCTTTAGCTTGTTTCACCCAGCTGTTATACCTATGACCCATTGTGCTCTCTCACAATAATTACTATTTAATGGACCTGAAAGTTTTGCATATCTTAGGGAAAGTACAGCACACTGTAATGATTTTTGCAGCTTTTGCCTTTGGAATGTTCTGTATACACTATAAACTAACCTGACTGCAGGATATTTCAATCCGATGCATCCCATAGGAGAAATCATCGTTGAAAGCAATTGCATCAGGACTGATCACATCATAGAAAGAAGGCCAACCTGGAAAAGAGGAACAAGATAGGTAAGAAAAGAGGGCATCTTTGTGGCAGATGGCATTGTAAAAAGCAAGACAGAATCACACTTTGAAAAATGTTTATTTCACTCCAGATTCTGGAAATAACTGAAATGTGGATTTTGGATCCTAAATCATGTAGGCACTTCAGAAAATTTCCTCCCTAAATACAAATTTGCTTAAAAGTAAGGACTAAACTGCCACTAGCTGCCCATCTTCTATCTCAGCAGAGATTTCTGTACTCTGTGCCAAGCAGTGGTAGCAGTTTAGCTCAGGCACAAAGGTGGTGGCTCAGGTAAGTCAGATTCAGCTTCACCATCAGTTTAAAAAACCACAAATTCCAGCCTGAAGACAAACAGCAAGACTTTATGGAACACAAGGGGTTTTTTGTTTTTGCTGTATAAAGGTACTTTAAGAAAGAGTTGGTAAGTTGCAATTTAGAGCCCCAAAATCTGCCTTAACCTTTGCCTTCACCAAGGCACAGTCACACCCTGAAGGAGGTGCTCAGACACCGACCCATCACACATTCATGGTAGTTATATGACTACTACTGAGTCTAATTTCAAAACAGTCATGAGTGCTTCAGATCAGCCATGGACAGGTGGACTCATAATTATGCCTCTATTAGACACCAGTAGATGGTCTGCATATGGTTTGCATCCAGGACAAAACACCTGCACTCACTAACATGTATTTTCAAAACAGCTGCTAGCTGAGCACTGAGCAGCATGACCTGACACCAGATGATGATGTGCTATATACCTGATCTACCAGTAGTGGCCACTTACAAGCTAAATAATGATCTTCCATTTTTAACTGTTCCATGCCAAGTCTCCCTCTCTCCACAACACAGGTAAGAAACACTGCAGGTCTAGTTAGTGTCCCAGCAGATACCCACTACGCAGCTGTAACTTTTCAGCCACCCCTCAAAAACCTGTCATCATATGCTCCATTTCCAGAAGTTGGGTCCCCAGGTAAGAATTTGAAAGGCTTTAAGGTCATGTTGACATCTTCCTCCACCCATCTGAAATCCTACCAGCTATCTGTCCTCATTCAGTCTCCTGTCAAATAGAACATGTACTGGCAGCTCTTGCTCTCTGTATATTACAGAGATGTCCATACATACAGAACTTCCTTATTTTTTCTAATACCTGTTCAGCATTTATTACTGATTGTTTCTTAAAATTACTTGTAATAAGCTATTAAGAACACAGCAGCAGCTGTGCCTGCAGATGAATAAAGGATGTATACAGCTTTCCATAAGAAAAGTGAGTAAGATTTCTTCTATATTAAAATATATTAACAGCAAAAGAAAGACCAGGAAGACTCTGCACCCCCTATTAGATGCAGGAGGAAACATGGTGATGAACTATGAGGAAAAGGCTGAGGTGCTTAATTACTTCTTTGCCTCAGTCTTCAGTAACAGGACCAGTTGTGTTGAGGGAATCCAACTCCCTAAGCTAGGCAACAGGGATCAGGAGCAAAACGATCCCCAGGAGGAGATGGTCAATGACCTGCTACACCATGCAGACGTGCACAAATCTATGTAGCCAGATGGGATGCACCCAAGAGTGCTGAAAGAGCTGGCAGGGGTGCTCACCAAGCCACTTTCTATCATTTAACAGCAGTCCCGGCTGGCTGGGGGGTACCAGCAGACTGGAAATCAGCCCTTGTTATCCCCATATATAAGAAAGGATGGAAGGATGATCCAGGAAATTACAGGCCTGTTATTCTGACTTCAGTACCAGGGAAGCTGATGGATCAGATCATCCTGAGTCCCACGGTGTGGTGCATGCAGAACAACCAGGTGATCAGGCTCAGTCAGCAGGGGTTCATGAAGGGCAGGTCCTGTCTGACTAAGCTCATCTCCTTCTATGACAGAGTGACCTGCTTATTGGATGAGGGAAGGCCTGTGGATGTTGTCTACCTTGACTTTAGCAATGCCTTTGGCAAGGTTACCCACAGCACTCTCCTAGAGAAGCTGGCTGCTTGTGGCTTGGATGTGCACACACTTTGCTGGATAAAAAACTGGTTGGACATCCAGGTCCAAAGACTTGTGTCCAATGGAGTTAAATCTAGTAATGACAGGACAAGGGGTAATGATTTTAAGCTAGGGACGGTAGATTTAAGTCAGACATTAAGAAAAAGTGCTTTACTATAAGGATGGTGGATCACTAGAACAGGCTGCCCAGGGAGGTGGTGGAGGCCCCATCCCTGGAGACATTCAAGGTCAGGCCTGATGCTGGTCAGAGCAATCTGTTCTAGTGTGAGATGTCCCTGCTTGTTGTAGGGGGGTTGGACTAGATGACCTTTAGAGGTCCCTTCCAACCCAAGACTTTCTATGATTCTATGATTTTCAGTTTTCTGAAAGTGGATAAATGAAGTGTGTAAACTGGAAAAGAATACACATGTCTTCAATTATATCTTAAACCATGAAATAAGGAAGAACACATATTAGGATGCAAGCACAACAGGCACACATTTTTAATAAAGAAAGGCTCAGAAATCCATTTTTCTTCATTTTGGGAACATCCATTAATATCATTCCTAAGCCTGCAACCTGAAGACATTGCAAGTCCCAAGTCCTACACTCCCAAGGTGCCTTCTACCATTGCAAGGATTTTCACCTCAGAACTCACTGCAGAAGTACGTATTTTTTTCCCAAAAAGAGTATTGCAAAAGGAAGAGTTACAGACAGCAGACAGACTGAGGATCATGATCTCTGAATAGGGAAAACATCCCACAAGACAGGAACTCAAAACAGTGTAGCAATGACAACCATAAAAAACTAATTTATCAATTCTTCCCCTCATGCAAAATATCCCTGCCAAACAAATACCTTCACAAACAAAAAGGAATTAACATACGACAAGTTTTGCAAAAGAGGTTACCCTGTTGACAGAAAAATTGATGTTTCCTAATAGGTGGCTTTTTCCTAACACCATTTGTTGTCTTCTTAGCTTGGCCTCTGATGAAAACTGAGGCCTTGCATTGAGCTGGTCAGAGTATATTTAATGAAGCCTTTTTAGTTTTTTAAAATATAATAATTTTGCGAAACAGATACATCAGTTTGCCCTTACGTGATGGTAGAGAAGTTCCAAAGAGAGAGCTGTTTGAAGCAGCCATGATTGTTTGAAAGCCTCTGGAGGGGGAACACTTCAGTACTGCAGAAATTCTCAAAGACAACCCTGCCTCCTCCATAACAGCAGAAAGAGGGAAGCTTCATTTACACAGAGATTGAAGCAATCTGTGCCTTGCTGAGAAAATTATCTTGTGAGAAGGGTTTGGAAGAGACATGTTTATGTCAGCTCTGACATGAAAGAAAGGTCATCTATCCTCCTTTCTCCAGACTTCTCCTATTGTTCTTCCCATTCACCACAGGAAAATTACTTGCTTTGGATGAACTCCATGCTCTTTTAAAAAATGAAGTAATCTGAAACCTATATAAACAGGCAAGGTCCTCCTAAAGTAGCCTTTGTACCCAACTGGAGTAACTTCCGTTTCGCTGTCAGTTCATGCTACACTTGACACATGTTCCAAAGCCTCCACCACTGCCACGTATGGTCCCCAAGATAGGGAACAGGAAACAGACTGTGCCTCCACAATGTGGATTTTTAACTCTCAGTCAAGCTATCTCTTCTTGAGTGACATGGAGGGCCAGGAACCAGCACTAATGTGACAAACCAGTAACTTCAGGAGGGTTGACTGAAAACTGAGCAAACTCTGCAGCAGAAAAGGCTACACTGTCTGTTCTGAATTAATACACACTGTCATTCTGCTGACCTTGAAAGGAAGACAAGTGAACTGCTCATTGAGCTGATGAGCCAAACTCACCAGGAAAATCAATTGCCCTCTGCTTTCTCATCTCCTCTCTCCAAAGGTGAAGTGGAAAACCCATTTGATAGTTTTCTAAGCCTTCTCTGGCCATATTCCTTACTTCAAAAGCTGCCAGGAACTAGCTGTAGATGCAGCCTGCTGGCCTGCACATCACTCCCAGTGATGTAGAAAGCCAACCAGACCCCTGTGGATCTTTCTGTCTTTGTGAGTGGTGAATGACCCAGCAGTGCCCTCCACTTTGCAAGCCCCAGGCTGCTTTTGCTGTCTCACTGGCTCCCGCTCCTCCACTCCTGTCCTCCTGAGCACCTGCCTCCTTCCTGCTGCAAGGCTGCAAAATGCCTAACTTGGTCCACATTTTAGACTGCTGTTAGCTGTGCATTAAAGTTTCAGCCTCCCTTTGAAAGCTATCTGGCGATGTGGAAAGGACACGCTCCTGCAGGAATGGGGGGGAAAAGAAGAGCATTTTGGATCTCTTCTGCTCCTTTTGAGCTGAGAGAAACAGTAACTCTTCAGGACTGTGGAGTCTGAGAACTGGAGGACACCCTTTGCAAATTCTGGTGCCAAGACTCAAGCCTCTCCAGGTAATGGCTTTCAGTCAGGTCTAGCTCACCTCAGTTGATGGGCAGCAGGAGCAGGGCCTCTATCTTTTGAAGGACAGTAAAACAACAGCCAGGAAGAAACAGCTGCTGCAGGAAAGGGGCAAAGGGTAATCTCAGGAGACAAGATGCGGGTAGGGGAGTCTCCCAGCTGAGTGAACAACTTCAAATGACTTTTTTGGTGTGTGTGAACAGCAGCTCAATCTGTGAATACATTTATCCTTGAATGTAAAGTTCAGTTTGTTGGAGAGTATGACACAGTCAGCAATTTTTATCACATTATAGGTATTTTTAATGGGCTCATTCTTATTTTCACAATCACTTTGCATCACATTGGCAATATATGTGCTTTAAAATAAGAGTCTGCTGTGTTTGTGTTCACTCCAATGACACTTTACGTGAGAGTAAGACCACAATGTCCTTATGGCCAGTTTCTGGTATGGTAATAAAGCAGCCAAAGAGATTAATAGTTTTTCACATATATAGCAAGTACCCTTTCTTGGACCTAAAATACACTACATAAAGCAATGAAACTTGTTTCTGTCAAGTATTTA